AACCTACTGCGTAATAGCGCCGGCCCCAACATTTCTTTTAAATATCCAGGCACCCTGGGTTTGGGTGCATATACATTTATTATCTTCACATAAGTTATAGAAAATCATTAGTTTGCCATTGTACAGTGTGCAAGGAGGAAAGAGAGAAAATGTAGGAAAGGAAGAATTTAGAAGTTAGATTAACACAGAGGAAAGAAAGAGTATAAGCTGCTCAGAATGGGACGAGCAGTAATAAATGAAGCCCTTATGACCCTTGGCAAATTCTGTCCAGTTCATATCCCACAGGGAAAGTGTAATGCAGGGGAAAGAGAGGAGCAAAGGCAATTCTCCAAGGCAAATTTCATCTGAACCATTGCCAAGTCAGCCACATGTCCAAGGCAAAGTAAGGGAAACCCATAAGAAGAGCAACTCTGGGGCCTGCGCTGTGGCATAGCAAGTAAAGCCACCACCTGCAGTGCTGGCATCCCATGTGGGCACTGGTTCAAGTCCTGGCTGCTCCACTTCCAACCCAGCTCTCTGCTATGGCCTGGAAATGCAGCGGAAGATGGCCCAAGTCCTTGGACCCCTGCACCTGCGTGGGAGACCTAGAGGAAGCTCCTGGCTCCTGGCTTCAGATCAACACAGCTCTGGCTGTTGTGGCCAATTGGGGAGTGAACCATCGGATGGAAAACCTCTCTCTCTCCACCTCTGTCTCTTTGTAACTCTGCCTTTCAAATAAAAAATAAATCTTTTTTTTTTTTTTAAATGAAGGGCAACTTTGGAAACAGTTCAGTGAAGGACACTACAGGAACTGGCAGGTACTGGGTTTCATGGATAGACCTCTTAAGGCAAGACATGAGGAAAGTTGCAGTACCCAGGAGACACAGGCAGAATGCGGACATACAGGCAGTCCTGGCAGCTGTTAACCGCTCTCTTAGGGAAGGGATGTTATTTGAAAGGCTGCAGTCTAATATCATCCCTAAAACACAAAGAGATATGTGCCTTTTAGGCAAACAGGGTGTTGAGGTGCATGCTTTGACCTCCTAATGGATTGGCCTCTGTAACTCTCTGAAGTCAGGGCAAACTTCTGCAGTGAGGGTACTGAGAATGGAGGAGGACCCAAGATAACTAATGCAGACTCATTGAGGTTTGCCATTCGCAGTACTGGGCATGGGACAGAGCAAGATAAAACAAGCATCTGGGCCTTATTCCCTCTTTTGCCATACTGAATAATTGTGTTATATTTGAGAAAGTCATTTAGTGTTAAAGTGATCTTAAGTAAGTCTCATCAAAAGACTCTAGAATATTTCATAAAATTTCTGGGACAAAGAGTCTGCTATCTTTTCATTATGAATCAGTCTCTTTTCTGGAAAATGAACTGAAGAATGGTACATATCTCATATACTTAGCATAATTTAGCAATGTAGAAAACCCATAGAAAACCATCTGCTCTAAAATAAGTGATGGCTATTACTATTACTCCTTTCCTTTTTCATTCCAACCTGTCAGGTTCAGATCCTTATAATCTTACCATTGGGTGAATTTAATGGTCCATCTGCCATCTTCTTGATTTGCAGGACATTCTTCACCTGACCCAAATCATTGCATGACCACTGGGATAGTGATCTTAAACAAATCCCTGAGCATTTACAAATTTCATGCACCGGCTTGTAATATTCAATGAATGCTCTGAAAATAAATAAATATATATAAATGCATATTATATATATATAAAGTATATATATAAAATATATATTTATATATATAAATATATTATATATATATAAGCCGTTCACATGTGGGAAGAGATCTTAGTTGCACTCAACTTCCAAAATAATAAACATAAATAAACATAGTCTTTTTGAAAAAAGATTTATTTATTTATTTGAAAGGCAGAGTTACAGGGAGACAGAGGCAAAGAGAGAGAGAGAGAGAGAGAGTTTTTAATCCACTGATTCACTCCCCAGATGGACACAAAGGCCGGAGCTGCTGATCCAAAGCCAGGAGCCAGGACCTTCTTCCAGGTCTCCTCTGTGGGTGCAGAAGCCCAAGGACTTGGGCCATCTTCTACTGCTTTCCCAAGTCATAGCAGAGAGCTGGATTGGAAGTGGAGCAGCCAGGACTCGAACCAGTGCCCACATGGGATGCCGGCACTGCAGGTGGCGACTTTACCCACTACACCACAGCGCCAGCTCCATAAATATAGTCTGGAATTGCTTAACTTGATGTATATTTCTAAGTCCACTAAGACATTCCTGAGGTCTTCAGATGAGAACATTTTCCTAGTGATTAACTTTCCCTGAGAAAACAGAAGCAATCAGAAAAGACATCCCATATGCTTTCAACATTTAGTTTATTCAAGCATCCGCCTTTGACCCAGACACCCTACTAGTCATTATCATTGCTCAGTGCTTGTGCCACTATGAGGTCAGTCTCTCTGTGCATCACTCATGTGTGCCATCTTCTCAAGGGCAACACACAAGCCAAACCCACTTTACCCTCAGCATCACCAATTTTCTTTTTCTAGCATCTTTCCTTTCAGCTTGTGCTGTGGTTTGAATGTTTCCTCCAAAACTTGTGTTGAAATGTAATTGCCAATGTAACAGTGTTAACAGAATTGTCAGGAGGTGGTCGGGTCCTAAGGGCCCTACTCTTAGGAATGGATTAATGTCCTTATTGCAGGTGTGGATTTGTTATCCCAAGAATGAATTTTTTTATGAAAGTAAGTGCAGCATTATTTCCTCTCTTTTTGTCTTATGCATGCTCACTTGCCCTTCTTCCATGTTATAACAGCATGAAGGCCCCCACCAGAGGGTGCTCCCTGCTCTTGGACTTCATCCTATAGAACCTTGCATTGTTTATAAATGACCTAGTCTGTGGTATTATGCTATGGCAGCAGAAAATGGGCTAAGATGGCATGCAAACATGCTTTTGATAATTCTACATTAAGAGTACTGGCCACCTTTTTCCTATGCCACATCCCTTTACCCCTTTTTTGATCTTCCTCTGTGGCAGAAGATCTCAACTATTCACTGCATAGACACTTTTTTGCGGGGTCCCTTTCAATCCAGCTTTCAGCTACACCACTCCACTGATACCATTCTATGGAGGTCACTGTAGACAATCAATTTTTCAATGGAACTGTCTCATTAAAATTAAAGGCCAAAGTTGTATTTTGCCCTACAGTGTTGTATGTGACTTGATTCTTCATAGCTTCTCTTATTACAGCTCGAATATCTTGTCTTCATCATTTTTCCCTCCAGCCAGATCAGCTTCCTCTTTGTTCCTCAAAATATTAGGTTTGTCCCCACCCTAAAGCTTTTATGTCTGATTTTCTCTGTTCAGAATGATGCTAGCAGAGCTTTCTAGCGGATTTCTTCTCTTCTTTCCAAGCTGTCAGCAATATTCTGTCTCATGTAAATCCCTCACTAAGAACCCATCTACAATTTCAAGCCCTTTATATGATCCTTCTTCAAATTAATTTTTTTCCATAGCACTTATCATGTTTTAGCACAATGTAAAGTTTACTTAACTATTTTGTTTACTGTCTCTTGCCCTCAATAGATTGTAATCTTCATGAGGACAAACATGTTTGTCTTTTTTCCTACAGTTATGTCATCATAAATCTAAGAATGCTGGTCATATAGTAGACTCCTTATAAATGCTTGTTGAAGAAATGACTAAACAAATCTCATTTTATATCACAGAAACATTTTGATAACAATGCCTTTTTCCCTCTTCTCAAGGACAACACTCAAGCCAATCCCACTTTAATTTAGGCATCACCAATTTTCCTTTTCTAGCATTTTTCCTTTGATTTTCCAAGGTGACACACTCTGTTGCCCAAAGTACATATGGGAAAGTTGTTAACTCCAGTACCTCAGAATGTGCCTTTATTTGGAGATAGGGTTTTTACAGGGGAGATCAATTCAAAATGAGGATTTCACGTGAAACCTAATCTCATATGATAGGTGTCCTAATAGAAAGAACAAATTTGGAGACGTGCATGCACACACAGGGAGAATGACAGATGAAGATCAAAGCAGAGATCAGGGTAATGTTTCTGTAAGCTAATGATTTCCAACAAATTCCTGGAACCAAGGGAAGACAAGGATCAGATCTTTCTACAAAATGCTTGGAGGGAGCTGGCCCTGTGGTGTCCTCGATTTCAAACTTCCTGCCTTCTGTCTTCTACTTCTCTCTCCAAATGTTTACAACAGACAGGGCAGGTCCAGGCCAAAGCTAGTAATTGAGAACTCAATCCAGGTCGCCCATGTAGGCTGCTGGGGAATACCACTTAATTCCTGACCTGCTGCCTCCTGGAATATGCATTAACAGAAAGCAGAGCCAAGACTCAAAGCCAGGCACTCCAATATGGGATGTAGGTTCCCAAGTGACATCTTAAATTTTGATCCTATGTCCTTCTCAGTTTCCATCTAGCTCACACTGGTCTTCCCATACAGACTTCTTTGCCATCTAAGTTTCTCTTGGAAATGCCTATGGCCCTAAGACTGTACTGTAGCCTTGAGATGTTAGTGTAAGAAAGCAATTCAAAGAGAGGTAGTATGAAGTTTACTCCCTTTTCATTCGTGACTGTTTATCTATCCTGCAGGGTGGAATGCGGATATGGTGATGAGAACATCAGGTGTGATTTTTGGATCATAAATAAAAGAGTCACACCCTACATACACTGATAATCTATTCTTCTGAACAGTTAAGTACACTATGTGCACACGTAGAGTATGAACTGGAAAGAAGGAGTGAGTTGCTGAAGGGTTTAGATTACCAAGGACAGAACCATGATATTGACCCTTTATATCTTATTTCTGGTCTTAAGTGAGGAAGAAATGGCTCCTTTATTTAAGTTACTGTTATTGTAGGACTCAAACAATAAAATAGAACCCTACCACAAATATTACATAAACTATGTAGTTTTTTGGAAGTTTCGAGATGAAATGAGTTACATGGAATCACGTAAAAGAATTTAAACAATAGGAAGCATCTGCAATGATAATCAAAGATCTTTATTTTCTGTATTTAATTTCTTACAATCACTTTGGAAAAATAGTTGTGTCTCCAAAAGTACTTTCACTGAATGAAGCTGATATGACCAAAGCAGTATTTTGGGTGACTATGAAAAAAAATTTATTACTGAAAAACAAGTGTTCCATTCAGTTCACAGTTTACACATACTACACAAGTGTGAAGGTTCAACACCAGAAACAGGCATCATTCTCTTTAGTCGAATCATTAGGTCAAAAGAAACCCTCTAGCAAATACTGATCCAAATGTGAGAGATTTTAATCCCACTAGAAATGTGGAACTGCATAAAGTTTCCTGAAAACCTTTTTAGGAGTATATCTTTGTTGCTGGAATCCTCTTAGATATTTTGAGATTTATTTAACATAGCATTCAATCTGCTTAACATTCAAATTTAGACACACTAATTATCTGATCTACTCTTCTGAGTAGTTAAGTATACTCTATAAATAAACACATTGATTTTGTTCTATTGCTACCCATCCCAAAAGCCTCATGTAGTTCTAATTACCCTAATAGCTACTTATCACTAAATATATTTTTGTTAGAAAGAATATAGAGCATATGAAATTACAAGCTCTTGTGAGCTAAGACAAATTTTTAAATTCTGAAATAATATTTACAATGTAAACATCACAGTTATTACATTAGAATAAAACAAATCATGACATTCACAACACAATATAATTTATTTGGTTTGACATTGAATTTGTTTTCTTGAATTACTCATGTAGAACTCAAAATGTGATTACTTTGTCTATCATTTTCCTCCAAGAATTCTGAAAAAGAAAGAATTCATGCCTTAAACATCAAGATATTTTTTATTTACAGCACCTCAATTTTATTCATTCATCCACTTGTATAGTAGACATATATTTCTCTTTGTCCCTTGTCAACATCTGTGGTAGGGGAACATGTTCTGGAATAAATCAAAAGAGCACCTTCCAGAGAATTATTGTCATAAAGGAGGAGCTTTACTCACTAATAATTATCTGTTTTGTAATATTCAGAAATGGATATCCCACAAATTTCCTGTTCAAAGAACTTTTCCAAAGCTACCCTTGGATAAAAAAAAAAAAACAGAGGATAGAATCTTTTAAATGATCTTAAAATTTGCAAAGGACACAGTGGTTGACCTACTTTTATATTTTAGTACCTACAGTATTTCTTAATCTGTTGGAGGATAATTTGTATAAATATTTTTTGAGAAGCCTAATGTAATTACCTTCTATCTTTGTGCAAAGGGCTTGCTTTTCTGAAATAACTACACATGTTAAGTACTTGCTTTGGCCATCACTCTTGCCTCTGTATTTTCCTTAGCGGCTAACAGGTAATCGGTGTACAAATGCAACAAGTCTGGCAGTTGCCACTCCAGATACCCTTTCTATTCTGGATAACCTTTTTGAAAACCTGAGATAACTACACCAGGAACTGAGGTAATACCATGAGTTGCTTTTGTCTGAGCACAGAGCTAGTTGAATCTGGACCTAACAGGAGCTGGACTCTTACCTTCTGGTTACAAAGTCTTATTGGAACACAACCACTCCCAATTTTTTGCACATTATCTGCAACTGCTTTCATGCTACAGCAGAGTTAAGCAGTTGTAACAGAAGCATACAGCCCACAGAACCAAAAATATGATTCTATAATCTCTTAGAGAAAAAGTTGCTAACTTTTGATATGATGATGACCTGAATTTTGAGTACTTGGCAAATATTAAAAATAGATTTTTATGAGCTAATGTATACATTAATGTAATGTAACTCAGGAAAGAAATATATCTTGTACCATGTTTACAAAAAACACTTTTGATAATAGTTTATCATTTTACAAAGGAAAAAACCTGTGTGTGTTTTCTCTACTCAAAAAATGTTACATTGCTGCTGGAGTCAAGGTGCATACACACACTTTATGTATGAAACAAGCTAATTGTGACTTTTACTGCATGGAGTTTGCTATGTCTCAAACAATCAGAATCACAGTGCCTTGGCATTATTTTATGATAAGAATCCTGACTATATATTGGTGATATTTCCCTGTACTTAAATTAAATGAGAAGTTAACAATAAATCATAAGATTAAAACTTAATAAAACTTAGTTAAACTTTAATACAAGGAACACAGTTTGATTCTCCAAAAGAAAGCTTTTTCTCATGGAGTAAGAGTTAAGTTCCTCTGTTTTTCACAAGGATAGCAGATCGTCTGAGTAAAGAGGAGTATCATTTAAATACAAACTATTCACTATGAGCATTCTCTTTTTACTGATCAGAACATTGCATGAATCCTTTAAAGCTCTTCACTGGGTTGAGGTCCTCTTCAGGTAATAGTGTCTTTCTTAGATGAGGTCTCATGAAGAGAGATTGCTAAACTCCAAGATTTTTTTGAATTGTGTGACTTTTACCTATTTATATAATTAGGTGATATGAGAGCATGGTAAGAATGCACAGATATACCCACCATTGGGAAGTTGTCATCAACTTTGCGGCAAAGAGCACTTTCATCATTTCTCTAACTCGTCAGGAAAATCGAGAGGTTCGCCCTCAATGCTGCAGAACAGGAAAGGACAATTGTACATGTTGAGGCTCTTAGATGGGAAAGGTTATAAGGAAACAATGATGGCACCACAACATGATTATTCTCAGTATTCTGTAGAGTACACTAGCACCAACCGATTATCTTTGAGGTTAGTTATTATGTATGAATTGTTTCTCAATTTCAGACTGTCTAAATTATTCCTAAAGAATTTCATTTAAAGTGCAAAGAGCAGAAGATTTTCTTGTCTCACCTAACAGAATTATCCTTACAATTAAGCAAGTAAACCAAAATAATTGATATAAAGAGAGAGAGCACTCCATTCCCTATGTATTGTGCCCATTATTTACACACCACAGGGAGACATAAATTTTACTGAATCCACACATACAAACTATTTTATGATTCGATTAGATAAAGTAAAGGTATTGAAAATGTTTATGAAGCAAACTGTTAATTGACTGCACATCATATATTATAAAATCATTACTTTTGTTAAAACCTGTTCCCGGATTCAGCCTGCTTCTAACTAGAGCCATTATTTTAAACTCTGAGGCCACAATAGAATCAGCTGCAGGACTCTGAAGAAAACAGTGATGTCTCTGGCCACATCCTCAGATTTCCTGCCAATTGATTTTGTATAAGAACCAAAATCAGTATTTTAAAATTTATAGTTGTGCTAGTGACAGCCAACATTAATAATGGCTGCTTCATATACTGTAGATAGGGTCTCCATATGAAGCTCAGAATTTTTCAAAGTCATTTATAATTTCCCATTTTATTAAGTTCTATTTTTCTTTACCTCCTTTTCCCATTCAGAATTGAGTTCAAGTACTTCTTTACAGCCATTTGTTTTCTAAGGCGGGTGTAGTTGTCAGTGAAGACTGCGTCTGAGTGACGTTTGATTGGTACAGGATCTTCTGAGATGTTATTGCTAAGGAATGTGAGGAAAAGGAAATGAGACAGTTTCAACAGAAGATGGTAAATGCACCAATGTTCCAAATGTCTTAGATAAAAAGAAATTCTAACATCCAATTCATGTTCTATCCCAAAAAAATGCTACAAAAAATTTGCAGTCCTGTGTAAGAATAGGGAGCAAGGAATGATCTACCATGTTCTGGCATTGACTGTGACAGCCTTATAACATGTTCTGGACTAGCTGAGCATATATTTACAACAATTGGGGGAGCATTGAGTTTGCATTCTGCTGTCAATAGGAAGTTTGTTTTAAAAATGGAGCCTTTAGCAGCATCATGAAAGCATTCATCTATGTTCCACTGGAAAAAAAAATCCCTCAGCAATTATTTGAATTCTCATCTAATCAATTGATTGACCTTAAAATTTGCTTGTCTTTGTACTAGTTCTTCTTATTTTTTACTGAGCTGAGTTCAGTTTGATTGCAGATTTGTAAATGATTGCTACTTCAGAAATATTAGTGTGTGTGTGGAGTCAACCTTGTTTTCTTAACTCATCAGCCTAGTATATTTTAATCAGGAATATGAAATCATTTAACTAAACTGAACATTCTGTAAGAGTTATCAATTTTTAGCAGGTAAATAACTTGTCAACAATGAATATATAACTTGCACATTGAGTAATTATATTGTGCCTTATTAAAATAATAAATTATCTTTACCTAACTCGTTTTCCAATAAGGGACTCAAGGTATTTTTTGGCAGAAAGTTGACCCAAGAGTCTGCTAAAGTCACTGGTGAAAACTCCATCAGCATGTCTGGCATTTCTAAAAGAAGGAAGAAGGAATAGCTATCATTCTGTATATTATTTTCTATAATATTATCTGGCTCATTAAATAACAGAGAATCATCAGTTTATCAAAAAATGTTCTCATCAAAACATAAGTCCAAAAGGAAGTTTCCTGCCAACCAAACTGAAGATATTTTCTAAAAACTCCTATCAAGATATATTCTATATTTCTGGCATACAACTTTGAAAAATTAAATATTACTCAGTATTTAAAGCTATTTCTTTTTTGAGAAATATAATTTTGAAAAATATATTAGTTTCTATTTACTTACAGTGTTTTATTTCTACTCCCACGAATAAAAATAAATGCAAAGTTAAAATATTCTAGTTTTGTCACGTTCACAAATCTATTATACCTATTTTTATTTCTTCTGTAAAACTCTTTACAATAGAGAGGATTTTAGGGCCCATCACTAACTTTTCCATTCAGATGAGGAACCTTTTATACTTGACTTCAGGATAGAGCTACTAAGTCTCTGCTGAAAGCTGTTCTAGACAAACAGTTCTACAAACGAACAGCTCTAACTCTTAGACACCTCCTTTTTACAAAGAGATACATGTGTCCTTAACACTCTCTCCATTGTGGAGTGCAACTTGCTGTAGCTTTACTAGGGATGATACAATCTGTGATCTCGGAACTATGTCCAACAGAATATAAGCGAATACTGTGTTCTTTCTGTTTCTTTTTTGTTTGTTTGTTAACAACCTTTCTATATGAAAATCATGTATAGCTTCGAAAGCTGCAACAAATCAGGCTGAATGAAGTCAGAGAAAGGAAACCCGTACTGTTATGCTAGAGGAGTAGCTTCATGGTGAGATAAAATTAGACAAACATATTTCTAAAGTATGTATTTGAACATAAGACTCAATAAAAATAAACTCACCTAGATACATCATAATAGGGTGTGTCATTTTCAGCTAACACATTTTGCAGGATGTCAGTATCTGATTTTAATGAAACCTGATCAGGTTCATTTGCTCCTTCCGGTTGTATTCTGTCAGCCAATGTTTTAGGGAAAAATACATTAGGAATTAGGAGTAAAATATATTCCTTTCCTCCTATGGTAAAGCAATCATTTGAAGTAAGATACTGAAAATTTGGAGAAGTATCACCCATTTCCAATATAAGAATAGCATACTTTAATTCAATGTACTCTATGATTAATGATAATATGAAGTGAAAACTTTTATTAGCCCATAAAATAAATGTTATAAAACTTTTATAAGATGTGTGTACAACTTGTAAGAGCTACTTTATTCAATCCTCTTGGAACATTAGCAAAGTACACTTCCTTGGTAAATGTGTTTCCCCAAGAATATATTCACTTTTTAAAGTCAATATTACAGGCAGAGAAACATTTACAAAATAGAAACTTGGAAAAATGTAATAATATTAAAACTGTTAGCAATTTTTGTATTTGGTTTTTTAGTATATTTGCCCTAATCTCTTCAGAGCTGAATATCACTCACTTTTCTCTCTAGGTATCTAAGTTTTACTTCAAAGATTTACCTTAGCATGATATATTTCTCTGTATTTAACAAGTCCAAGTAATCTCTCTGTCTATTACTAGTTACTCGAATTCAAGAATTTGTGAGACCTTCTGATAAGTGAAGAAATACAGTGACACATGGGAACCTAAGAACAGTTATGCCTACCTATGAAATAGGACTATATTTGTAGGTATATGCACATTCTTACCACCAGCACACCATTGCATTTATGTATGTATCTTTCATGATATAAAAATTGATAGTAATGAGCAGTCCTCTGTGAATCTCAAGTCATGTGAGTAACAAAAACTTTAGCATACTTCAGATTATTCCTTGTTTGTCATGAAAGCATTCCAATGGACCCATTCTACTAAGTTGTCCATGAACTAGAGGAGATAGCTTTAAACAAATTTCATAGATAACACTTACAGGCTAATAGATAATTCACTATATGGAACTTAAGAATACCTTAAGTAAATGATCAGAAATGGACAAATAAGCAAATTGTTGTTTTCCCTTAAAATATGGTGGTGTCTATGACTTTGAAGGAAAAATGAGTTTAACATATCCTTCATTTATTGTTCACTTACTTTGAATACATTTATTTTACGTTAGAAAGGCTTTAATTGTGAGTTGCGTACTTTACTAATTTGAAGTATGGCATATAGTAACATATAAAACACTAAAACTAAGTATTTATAATTCTAACCTAATACATTAAAATGTACTAATAAAGGAAGTATTAAGGAAATGGGTCTCAATTAAAAAGTTATTCCACTATTTTAATATTAGAGAATAAATCTTTCCTATATACAGATCTTTCCAATATGATTTTATGCATGTTTCACTAATAAACTAATATGTACTGATAGACCTTTAGAAAAATTTAAAAGGAGTTTGGCAGCTAAACAGCTATTTTTCTATCAGAAACTGAACTGAATTGAACTGAGGAAAGTTTATTACTCATCTAAAACTGGTTCTGAATGAATGGAAAGTCAAATTGCCATTCATGTTTAGAAATGTGACCACTTGACCTGTAGAATTAATCAGTGACACTGTTTGTCATGCCTGCACACAGGATTCATGACCAACCTGTCAACTTGATGCTGAAAACATCTTGCTCAATACACAAACCAAAAGATTTATGTGCATACTTCACGATTTTAAATGTTGAGTTGTCGAAAATAGCATGTAGGGCATTGCCATTTAGACAAAGAATGAATGTTCAACTGATGAATTACAAGAGAAACTTGTCTGAAAAGGACCTACCTTAGAGTTCCTGGGGCTCCGTAAAGTGGCCATGCCAATGTTTGCGAGAAGAGCACACTGCAAAGTATCAGGGACACCAGGAGCTGGGGCTTGTGTCTGCTTTCCATTTCTGTGCCTCTAAAGAGAGAGCCAGATAAGTCTTTCAAATCCACATGTCATGAGCAAGGCAGTGCTGTGTGTCTAGAAATAATTTCTGAAGTTTGTTGAGGAGTTTAAAAATAGTTTTCATGTTGAAGAGATAGTTAAACTGGGTATGATTACTCTTAAATGAAGAAAATTTCTCTTGGTGACAAGCATTTGAAAAAAATTAGGATGCTTTTCATTGGTTGCTTATCTTTCCCCAGGCACTTAGCCTAAGAATATATTGAATATCATACTTTATAATAGAGTTGTAGCATCAAAGTTAAGTATATTTTCTAAGGAAATCAATTCAAGAAATTATTTTTTCCTACTTTAAGCCTTTAACATCTGGTTAATATAAAACTGGAATATAATGTATTTAAATATTCTTCTACTCTGGTAAATTATATATAAACATGTGTATACAGTGTGTATCTATGAATATAATGTACATATATATACTAGAACACAACATTTTATAAATACATATTTTCCTCTCCTAGTTGTAGATACTAGCATAAACTTACTTCTTTGTGTATTAACACAATTTTGGCCTAGGTTTAAATAAATTAACTGAGAGAAAATTAATATTGATAAACTCATTGAATCACATATTGTTATTATGTGGTTCATTATGCCACAAAATATATGTAAAAACAAAGCTTATTTTTCTTGCACTTGGTCCACTCACTTCATTTATAAATAGTTTCTAGATATAAACTTAGAAGGACAAGGTCTGTGTTTTCTTTTTGCTGTATATAAAAATCACAGCATTTAAACTTACAGAGGAGAAAAAATGTGTTCCAAGTTCACTTAACCAACATGTGAAATAGAAATAACAGTTCTTTCAAAAGAAGTTGAAGACTTCAAAAACAAATGTACCTACTGAACCCTTCAGTCAATATATATATATATATAAATATATATATATATATATATATATATATATATATAGTCAAAAACCCCTTCTTGGGTGTATTTTTTAAAATCAGTATTAAGCAAAATAGCAGGAGGGTAAAACATCTTCCAATGAACATAATTCTGAAAATTCATTCTATTCTTACCAGGTGACCTGAATTTAATATACCCCAAGAAGAGTTCCACAGGCAGGAAACATAAAAAGGAAAAGCAAAGTTTTCACTTACCTTGCTGGGTAGCGTTCCTCAGGGACCTGGTGTTCTGGAGCTGTCCAAGGTGCTGAAGTTCTGCGAAGCCAAGAAAGGCTCCACCAGTTCTCTGTCCGTAGCACTGGCTAAGGGTTGGCTGTTATTGCTGGCTACTGCCCTTCACTCTTCCCTGACCAGTGTTTCAAAGCCATCATTTTATAGGCTTATACTTGGGCTGAGCAATCACAAAGCTCCCTGAAAGACGTCACAGTAATACTCCCACGAGATGAATAGGGCTTGAAGTTCATATTAAATTGTCATTATGTCTGATTTATATAAATTTGTAGTGAGTAACTTGAGGATCTTAGATAAAAAGAGGAAATTTGCTTTTTTAAAAAAATGTACCAAGCTTAATGTGAAATGTTTTGATATTTACTTTGTCTTAATGGAATAAGAGAATGATTATGGTGTTAGAGCCAGGGCTACTGGGGTTCCTTCAGATAATGACTTCATGTGCAGGAACAAATTGAGAAAGCTACAAATACTTACGTTCATTATGCTTATGAATGTATAATTATCTTTTATTACAAAGCATCAATTCCCCTAGTCTTTCTTTCTTTCTTTTCTATTATTCAAGCAGATCCTTATTTAGTCCTTCTTGAAATTTATCCTAATTTTAAAAGCATCTGGAAATAATTTTCCCTTCTATTAATATGTTTTCTTTTTGTTGAAAATAATCTTAAGATAAAAGTTTTCAGAAAATCTCCAAGATAGAAAAATATGTTGTATGAAACAGTAGTGCAGTTGCTGTTTCACATATGCATAAAATAACGTAATTCCCAATTCACATCTCAATATGATATCAAATGATCACTCCTAAAATTCTTCTCAGACTCTATCCCTCAAAGCACTGAATTTCTCTTCCTTTTAATAATTATCTATATCACTTTATAAATGCTTGCACTATGTAGAATTATTTCACTTTCTACTCCCACTCCCCCAACACACACATATGTGTGCAATAGTTTTTGGAAATTTCTGATTCAATCACTTTAAATTATGTTCAAAGATTTATTTGCATTTGTAGAGCATTTTGATAAATACTTAATTTCTTCTTGTGAGTTCCTTGATTACAGTGGCTTAGTGTACATTCAATCAGAATTTGAGATAAAAGTGGAACTACAGGAACAATTTTGTGTACAACAAAAGAAAATACTATCTTTCCTTTTATTTAAAAATTCCTAATGAGTGTATTCTTTTAAATTTTTTATTTGTATGTTCCACAAGGGAGAATGGCTGTAAAACCTTCTTTCTTCTTTAACATTTTAGTATCTATTTGCTTCATTCAAAGTCAGACTGATCCAGAATATCTTGCTATGCTTAATCATATTTTATAATCCAGTTACAAGAAAAATTAAATGAATTAAATTTCAAAATGTCTGGAAATTTGTTTCCCAGTTGACAGCTCTGACTTAAACCAGAGTTCCTGTGGCTTAATTCCAGGAAATCTTTTTTTACCTGATTATTACAAACTAGAGGTTGAAATGGTTCTCATATGGAATTTTTTATCTTTAGCTTTTCGTCACCCAATCCTCAGTGAATCAATTTTATTTAAGAACAGCAACAGCAATGTAAGTTGATTGGGAGTTACAGACAATTGATGCTGAATGACAAGCTGAAATTATATAGAAGAAAAAACAAAATTCATTATTACTTTGGTCGAAGTAGATGTTTTCTCCCATTATAATAATAAAACATAAAAATAAAGAGATGAATTGAATTTTATTACTTTTTGGTAGAAAAAAAAACACTAAAGTAAAGACCTGCATTTTTTTTCTAATGAATTTAAACTAGAAATCAAAGCTATTTCAAAATAGGATCACAGCACCATCTGCAGGTTCAAAGTCTTAATTCATAGATTTTAATAAAATCATCTGAGTACTTTTTCTCTTCTTTCAAGGAAATGAGGTGTAAATGAATCTTTAACCAGTCGAATTATAGATGCTTCCAGAAAAATAATCATAAGAAAAAATACTGAAATTAAATTTATCTAGAATATTTTATAATAGCACTCAGCAAATGCAGCTAAATCTGCTTTATCTTTCCAAAAAGTAGGAAATGAATTTTGCCAGAGTTGGGTAAATTATGGAAAGATATGTCAAAATGAAACAAATTAGATACAGGGAGATCAGTTGGAAGGGGTTTTCAAGGTCAGGAGATTGGCAGAAATTCAGAATCACTCTGATTGCCAGTGCAAAAGCTAATGGAGGCTCTTCATCCTCTCAGGGATTATTTTCCCAAGCCATGCCTCTGTGTGGCAGTTTGCCTGTCTAACTAACTCACCCTAACTCATACCCAGCCACGAGACCAGAATGTGCCATGAGACGTGCCGTGAAAACTCTGAATTATTAAGCCTTGATCTGAGGGCTTCAACTATTGGCTAAAAGCCCGAAAGGCCCATCCCTCTGTTTTTTATGTCCCTCAAGCTAAGAATGGTATTCATATTTTAAATGGTTAAAAAATTAATGAGTGGTTTTGTTACATATGAAAATTATGTGAAATTTAAATGTCAGTGTCCATAAAATAGTTTTTTGGAACATGAAGATGCTCATCATATATGTGTGGTCTAGGATTGCTTTTGTGTTACAACAGCAGAGTTCAGCAGTCGCAAAGAAGACTGTATATTTTATAAAGACTGAAATATTTGTTATTTGGTCCTTCACAAAAACAGTTTGCCAGTTCTTGGTGTAGAAACTCCTGTTTGTAAGACATGGAAGTTCTTTGTTTGCTTTACTATTCTTAGTTCTTATAGTTTTCTGTAACTTATGTTAGGATACGTGTACATGTATTGAATGTATAACATATTTTATAATATCAATATTGTATATATTACAATATAACTGAATGGTACATGCATGTATTTCATTTGCTTCAGCCCTCTATGACACCCCAGTGCACCTATGTTTTTGTATTTTAATTAATTTTTATTTATTTGAAAGGCAGAGAGATTTTCCATCTATTCATTCCCCTCCTAAATGCCTGCAACAGCCAGAGGTCAGACCAAAGTCAGGGGTCCAGAAATCAATGTGGATCACCCATGTGCATGACAGAAACAGAAGTACTTGAACCATCACCTGCTGCCTTCCAGGGTGTGAATTAGAAGGAAGCTGGAATTGAGCGCAGAGCCATGACTTTAACCCAGGCACCCATGTATGGGATGCTGGCACCTCAACCCACTGTGCCAAACATCAGCTCCTAACCCCTGAGATCTGACTTCCCTTCGGAACACACTTGATGGCACAGGACGCACACTCAGCTGTTCCTTCTGCTGAACATTTTCCAGTTTCCTTTTGGATCTGCTCTCTGCTGTTCTCCACTTTGCTTCTTATTTTCTGGAGGCAGACCTTAAGACCTACTACAATCCATGGTCTGTTGGCTGCTGCTTGGATTTAGCTAAAGAGAGGGACTGGATAGATATCAAAGGGACTAAAAGAATGAGGAAAGGGTGTTCTGAGCTTTTGTTACCCCTGGACCATGTCATCCCTGAAGACCAGGCTTCAGCAAGGTGGACTTTATCTTGTAGCCCTAGAAGTGCTAAATAGCCCCTTGCTAAGGCCAGCCTCTGGGTTCCTTCACTTGTTGCTTCTATCACCTTTGCTGAATGCTCCCCACTTAGAGACAACCATTTGCATCTTCCTTGGATTCCTTCTGGTGTACCCGCATTCCTGCACCAACTTCACGTTTCCAAGAGTATTTGGAAGTGTTTAGGATTCAATATATTTATAAAATCTGCTGATTTGGAATGTTTTAGTATTCTTCATTTGAGTTTAAAGAATTAAAATATCCAGTGTCAAAGCTTGGAGGAAGGTCACTGTAGCCCTGAGCAGCCCTGTCGGATTGGTGAGCAATTGATTTTTGAAGATTGTGGCTGAAACACAAATAAATTAGAAGCCCATTCAGGCCTTTGATGCCACGCAATTCCCTCTAGGAAAAGAGGCTGGATCTGTGGCTGGCACATGTCTGGAGTAAAGGTCAATGGGCTGCCAGGAGCCAGACACCAACCCCCTATTGGGGTCTTTGGGTGGGGGAGGAACACAACTGTAGGGAAAGAGACCTGAGGCAAACTCAACTCCTCCCTCCTCAGAACTCCTGGCGCCTGTCCCTTAGAAATGAAACCTCATTGTCTAGGAAGCAGAGCTGTGACTATTTGATGAACTTTTTTCCTAATCATCATTCCAATATCCTGTATCTGTGGTCATTTCTCCAATGATTTCCAGTCAGGGAGACTGATGTTCTCATTTCTGACTCATAGAATCATCGTTTTCAGCACAAAGAATTTAAGATAATATAGCCATGCTACTTTAAAAAAATTGTAGCAATTCTATATCAAAAAGAGACAAATGACTTCGAATGAGTAGCACATCTGAGCTTGGGCACTACTTTTCCCTGTCCAAGATGATTGTGAAGCTAGCAAATTATCAACACACAGAATAGAGAATGTGTCATGTAACCCAAAGTGACAGAACAGTGGGGGACAGGTGCAATCATCGTCCAGCTGTGAACATCTGAATCGATCATGTTCTCTAGCATATTGATAATGCTAATGACAGATAAGTCCACTGATTTAAATAGTTCTTATACAAAATAATAAACAAATGAAACATTTGAATGCTGTCAGAACCAGAATCACTCACTAGGTGCATACTACTTCTGACTTTATAGTCCGTAGGGTGTCTTAAAGAGCTACCTAATGTGGAACAGGCATTGTGGCCTAGTGAGTAAGGCCATTGCTTGTAATGCCGGCATCCTATACAGGTGCCCATTCATGTCCCTGCTGCTCTCCTTCTGATTAAGCTCACTTGTAATGGCCTGGGAAAAGCAGCAGAAAATGGCCCAGAAGATATGCCAGGTATTTGAGCCCCTCCCAACCATGTGGGAGATCTGGATGCAGCTCCTGGTTCCTGGTTTTGGCCTGGTCCAGCCCTGCCCATTGAGACCATCTGGGGAGTGAGCCGACAGATGGAAGATCTGTCCCTCTCTCTCTCTCTCTGTAACTCTGACTTTCAAAATGAATTTTTAAAGAAAAAAGGAGGTACCATGCAAGAAGAGAAAGAAATCCCATGTTTCTATCAAAACAGCCTTGAGCCTAAATATTAGACATGAAAGTCATAATCTTCAAAAATGCTTTTTTCTTCTCACCACACACGAGAATG